TTTGGTGCAATCCTAACATATATAGAACTTAGTGAAGCAGAAAAATAATGGCTTATAGGTGACACCACCAGCAGTCAGGACTGTGTAATGCTACCTATGCTATAACTCTGAGGTTGCTCATAGCTAAGGAACTCAGCCGTTCAGCAGAGAAGGACCATAGGGCTGCCATTAAGCCATTGTGACCTGAGTCACCTCTGAAACATTGCCAATGAGTTCACCATGTTCATGCGTCATGGACCCACCACCATGGGCACAGGACTTCACCTGACTGTGTTGTTCATGACCATGCCTTGCGTTTGAAGGGTGTTGCGAAGGGTGGTAGCGAGGAGCTGTTTGTGAAATATTCTTTTGATACCCAGCCCTGAAATTTTGGACCACTGTTGAGCAGAGCCTAAAAAGGTCCTACTTCCACCCAAAATACCTTGGAAATTTGACTCTGATCTGTCAATCGCAGCATGCCGCAGAGTGCCTTGCTGGCTCCTAGGCTTGAGCCATTGCAGAGAAGCTTTGTCAGCCTGGCTGCCAAAGTGGCCTTGAAACAAAACAATAATAAAAAAGAATCCTATTTATTCTGTGTTGTTTACTGGATCTGAGGCTTTAGTGGTCTGTGATTTAAGCTTGCAGCCTCCACAACAGAATTACTGGAAGCCCTCTTCTGACACCAAGGTCTCCAACTGCAGCAGCATCCAGACCAGTGTGTCTGGGCAAGCCTTTTTGGCAGAAATCCTCACCAGTAAGGAAAGGAACAGTGAAACTGGCTTGAAAAGGTGAAAAATGGCTTGGCTAACCAGATCTTGCTCCTGTTTCTATTTGGCTGTGCTATGCCAGCCACTATATTTTCTTTCTGTATCCTAAAAAGTGGTTTTCCTTCCCATTCTCCAAAACAGTTCTGAGAAAAGATTCTTTGTTTTCCAAAGATATCAAAGAACAAAAACTTTATTCTTCCTTCTTTTCACATAATCCCAAGTATTCTGATATAAGGGCTGTAAAAGGAAAAAGAGCTGGAATTAGGATCACCCTCTAGGTGCAGGGGTAACCCAGACAAGAATCCCCTTAGAGTTAGTCTCACCTTTGGAGGAGAAATTAGTGTGAAGAATCCGTAACTTTCCAGATACCTGTTTCCCCCC